TATGCGTAATACCAAAAATAATAGTTTTCTTTTTTATAATTTATGAATTATCAATTTCCCTACATTCATAATGACTGGAGAAAACGCGTCGAAATTTTATTGTTCCTATCAACCTGTCAATAAAGTTAATTCGAGAATGTTTAAATTAAATTTATATTATGGACTCTAAAATCTTTTTACATTTTCATCGTCTTATGAATCTTTGGATAGATGCTGTATTCTGTCGAATATATCGACGAATAATTTCGACATATATCAGATAAAATATTAAGAGATAAAATTAATTAATCGTTCGATTAAATAAACGGAATTCGTTATCCGCGATGAAGTTCACAAGTTCTTGTGAATTTTGCCATTTCCTATGAATTTTGTACTTTTAGAAGCCGTGTCAAAAAAATGCAATGAATTTAAAGAATTGTCCTAAAAAAAAATTGTATAAGTGGTTCTGAATAAGCGATGTGATACAACTGCGAGAAATAATCAGATGCAGTCAGGTTCCCGTCGCATCGGTTTTGACACAGCGTGATTATTGTTAATGTTATTACAATGCAAGAGTTACAAATAATAACAAATTTGTTTATTTCCACGAAAAATGTAACAGATGGATTCCCTACTTGATACGTTCGAAAAAAGGAGACATAAAAAATAAAAAGGATGTTCTTCATTGAATTTAATGATTAATTGAAAAAGTTATGAATTTTAAAACCAACAAAACTGATTCGGTAAACAAGTTTTCCGAAAAGTCCTTGTTAAACTGTGTAGAAAGAGTCAGCCGCGGAAGCTCTGACGAAAGCGACGATTGACGTTAACGACGAGCAGCGAGACGAGGAATAATGAATGTGAAATCTCGATAGAGATTAATAATCGTGGTGTCAAATTATCGGGATCGGAGTCGAAAGGCACCGAGCGAGTGGATGCCTATCCATAACGAGATGCGATCGATGGTGTCGGCCAACGCCGAAGGAGGATGTCCCCACGACGCGACGTTGGTGGCTAATCTTTCGAGTGGAAAACATTGTCAGAGACATTTCTCTCACCCGATCGCGTTTCCGCTCGGTCGATCAATAAAGACCCATCGGCGAGCGGGTCCAAGACGAGGAACGATAAGGAGTTAATTGCTGTTTTCCCACGGAAACAAAACGGATTCACAATTTATTCATGATATGAAAAATGAAAGCAGAGGATAACCCGCAAATTTTTGCGCGAAGAAAATCATTTCGACGGAAAAAGATGACCCTTCTCGAACGATCGCGCTGAATAGTGTTATGCATAGAAATGCCGAGAAATAAAGCAGCTTATAAAGACGATACGAGAAGAAGACACTGTTATTGTTAAAGGACGATCGATCTGCAATCAAAAGAGAGAAAAAAAAGAATACAACGGAAAAATTCAAGAATCCCAGACGATTCGCGTCAAACGATTTGTAACGCTTCTATAAAATAAAAAAGGACATTTTATATCTACAATTAACATCAGTATAACGAAATACGAAAAAATGAATTTAACGACGTAGATGCCAGTATCTTTTGAAAGTCTTTGGAGGATCTTTTTAGTCAGGTTGCAAAGTCTTACAAAATTAAAAAATGTATAATGAACATCAGCCCATGATAAATTAACAATAATAATTTACTTGTTATATGTACACTTGATGTCGAAATCGCAATTCAATTCTTCTCTCTCTATATATATATAAAGATTTGAAACAATCAAAGAGAATGAAGATATAAATTAATATTATTAGAACGTTATATAAGGATTGCTAATACAATGATTATCAACTCATTTTTTTTTGCAAGTTGTATTTCAACATAGAATTGCCAATCAGTAACCAATCAACCTAAAATAAAACGCAAACTGTGCATCCTTCCGAATCACTGAATTTATTCACAAGCTCGGCAGATGAATAAAGCGTATGGACAATAAACGCGATAGGTTCAATCTTCCCACTACTTTGAGGCGTCAAAAAAATTACTGGCCAAATTTGACAAATTATATTGATTAAAGTAAATCTGTTACAATACAATAAGCAAATAATAAATGTGCAAAATGTCGCTATATTCTAAATTGATACAGAATAATTGAACGTTAATATAAATTAAACGTAATTTTTTTCTTCCTCTACGCTTTCAAATTGTACATTAAATATATTTATTTTAATTATATTTTCTAAATAGAATATATTGTAAATGTTATATTTTAAATATAATTTGAAAAATATTAAAATATCGCATTGCAAAACATCTCCTAAGAATTGTTTTCTTTCTAATTGTAAGAGGAAATATAAAATTAGCTTAAGCTATGACAGACAAAATCTTTTCAAGTCGCAGTTATTGACTTTTGTCACGTCCACTGCACAGTGCACGTGATCGGTCTTTTAGTTGGAGCAAGTCCCCTGTAGAGGCACCACAAATCACTCCGCTTCTGGATGCACTCGTAATATTTTCTGAAAGAAATCGGTTAGATGGCGTTCAAGAAAAAAAATAAAGAAAAAACTGTGTCTTCTCACGTATATATATTTTGAAAATAAAACACCTTACATACGAAAGATATCTATACATTCACCTGTATTATCTGAATGAGAAATGATTGTCGACAATTCGTAAGTTGTCGCTTACTTAATTTGAACTATATGCACAGGCTTCCGTCATTAATTAAATGATTGGGCTAATTAAAGACATTTCTTGATAATTGAAAAAAAAACTTGTGTGATAACGTGCGTAAAATAGAAAATAACAGATTAAACATGGAAATTTCTATTGTAGGGCTGAAACCTTGAGGAAGAGAAAATTTGCACGGATTGTTAAGCAGAAATTTGGCTGACAAAATGTGCTGCTACTTGTTGGAATATTACTTATTCCATCTTTATTTTCAAAGAGGTCGCCGTGCTATATCAAGAGTCAAATTAGGATATGTGCTCTGTGGCTTTGGCATGATAGCACTATTAGAATTTTTTGGAGCATTTGTGCACATATTCGAGGTCACGTACGATGAAAACTTTGTATATCCATACGAAGGCAACGTACATGAATTTGTGAATGCTTTACGACGTAATGAAAAACCTCAAGTCGAACCTATAAACGAGTATAGATATGCTTTTATCTTAAAGCAGCCACAAAAGTGTAAGGAAAATGCAGACGATACGCTTCGTCTTGTGTACATAGTAAAATCGGCTATAGAAAATTTTGATAGAAGAACTGCTATACGAAATTCGTGGGGAATTGAAAAGAGATTCTTTGATGTGCCAACGAGAACTATTTTTGTGGTGGGTACGCATCCGGATGACCAAGAAGTTGAGGCCAAACTAAAGCTAGAGGCAGGGATTTATAAAGATATCGTGCAGGCAGATTTTATAGATTCGTACTATAATAATACTATAAAAACGATGATGAGTTTCAAATGGTTAGTACAGTATTGTCCCAATTCAAAATTTTACGTGTTCGTCGATGATGATATGTATGTATCTGTAAAAAATGTAGCGACATTTATTAGAAATCCAGCTAATTATCCATTTTATTTAATGGAATCCAGAAAAGTGTACAGTGCACACAAAAGAGAAATCAAACAGTCGGATTTAATGGATTATAATGACATGAATTTTAATAATAAAAGTGCAACATATGACTTAAAAATCAAAACGTCTTTTACGGAAGATTCAACTATTCATGAATCTACAAATAACAATAGTCGGAAAAATATGCATGAGAAACAAGAACTCAAGATCAATGATAGAAAAATAGAAAATGAACACTTTCCTAGGTTTTTTAACAAATCTACGTCAAATAGAATAAAACGACAGCTTTTCGATTTTGAGCTGCCAGATGATATTAGACTGTTTGCAGGATTCGTATTTATGCGATCTACGCCACATCGGCATAAATTTTCTAAATGGTACGTCACATTAAAAGAATATCCATATCATTTATGGCCACCATATGTTACAGCCGGTGCATACGTTTTGTCTAAAGAAGCTCTATTGGATTTGTACTACACCAGTTTCTATACCAAGCATTTCAGATTCGATGATATCTTTCTAGGTTTAGTAGCTAAAAAAGCCGATATAGTACCGTTTCATTGCGAAGAGTTCCACTTTTATAAGAAAGCTTATACAAAACATAGTTATACATATGTTATAACGTCTCATGGATATGAAGATCCAAACGAACTCTTACAAATTTGGAACGAACAGAAAGCTCTTGGAAACGCTTAAATTTATATAAATAACGCAAAAAAATTTGCAATATATACTATTACACGATTTTAGAGATGATTAAGATGATTTCCATTTAAGAATGGAAAAGTATCACGATAGCATATATTGGCGAAAATATCATTATAATTGGTATGTATCAAGTATCAATATATATACATATGAAGGAAGATTGAATATACAATGTAAAATAACAATTATATGATAACGTTCAACTTATTGTAAAGAATATTCTGTACTCTCTAGAATAGATTTCATCCTACATTAGTCTTCATATATACATATATATATATATATATACATACTATATATATATATGTGTATAT